TGCTAAACAAGACACAGACATTTTATCTTGTACAGAAAATAGAATAACCCAATGGTTTCTTGTTTTCCCATCTCCCATAATAGTAGGTTAATGTGTTCCTTAAATGAGTTAGTGGCTACATGAGTTAGTGGCAAAAGAGTTCCATTTACTGTATAACCTTTAGTAATATAATGGTACAAGCTTCAGTTTCCTCTCCTGAAAAAAAAAAGAGAAGGGGTGGGGACAATTAGACTTATATCACAGTCTTGATATGAGGATTAAGAAAGAGCATTTATGAAAGGAAATTCATGTTCAGAAGTTGGTACTACCCAGATCAGTAAATGTCTGCTAAAAGATGTTTGGTAATCTTTCTGGAGGATGCTTTCATTGTACACATCAAAAGCTTTTAAGATTGACCCAGCCAACTACTAATCTACTTTATCTACCCATAGAGTTGCCTATTTTGGTCATTTGATATAAATGAGGTCATATAAGATGTGGTCATGTGTGACTAGCTTTTTTTCTCTTAGCATAACCACTGGTACCATTTCTCCTAGCTTGCCACTTAGCATGTTTTCAAGGTCATCCATGTTGTAGTATGCATCAGTACTTTATTTCTTTTAATTGCCAAATAATATCCCACCACAGGTATCCACCTTATTTTGTTTATTCGTTCATCAATTGATGTACCTTTGGATCGTTTCCACCTCTGGGCTATTGTGGATAATACTGCTCTGAACTTTGGTGTACAAGTTTTTGTTTGGATACATATCTTCATCTGTCTTGGGATATACCTATGAGTGAATTGCTGTGTCAAATGGGAACTCTGTGTTCAGCCTTTCAGGGAATTGCTGGATTGTTTTCCAAAGCAGCTGCACCATTTCACATTCCCACAGAAATGTATAAGGGTTTTCCATTTCTCCACATCCTCAACAACATTTGTTATTATCTATTTGACTATAGCCATCTTATGGATATAAAATGTTATCTCATTGTATCATCTTAACCATTTTTTTAATTGTGGTAAATAACATGTAATATAAAAATCGCCATTTTAGGCGTATAGTTCAGTAATATTATGTATATTTGCATTATGTGAAACACATCTCCAGAACTTTTTCATCTCACAGAACTGAAACTCTACACCCGTTAAACAAAAATTCCCCTTTGTCTCTTTCCCAAAACCCCCAGTAACCACCATTTACTTTCTATCTCTATGAATTTGACTGCTTTAGATTAAGTGGAATCATACAGTATTTGTCTTTACGTGACTGATTTATTTCACTTAGCATGTCTTCAAGGTTCATCAGTATTATAACGTGTGACAGGATTTCCTTCCTTTTTAAGGCTGAATAATATTTCATTGCATATATGTGTCGACTCCATTTTATTCATTCATTTAGCCATCAGTGGATCGCTTCTGCGTCTTGGCTGTTGTGAATAATGCTGCCATGAACATGGGTGTGCATCTCATGGTGACTTTGATGTATATTTCTCTGATGGCTAATGGTGTTGAGCTTCTTTTCATGAGACTGTTGGCCATCTTCTTTGGGGAAATATCTATTCAGATCTTTTGTCTGTTTTTCAATTGAGTTGTCTTTTTATTAGTGAGGTATAAGAGGTCTTTCATTATTATGCCTTTGCCAAATGTAAGTTTTATGTCGTGAATTAAACCCAACTTTATTTTCCTCCAAGTAGCCAATTATCCAGTACCATTTATTGAATAATCTGTTTTCCTTCTTTAACAAGTATTTATTTGCTGGACGCGGTGGCTCACGCCTGTAATCCTAGCTCTCTGGGAGGCCAAGGCGGGCAGATTGTTTGAGCTCAGGAGTTCGAAACCAGCCTGAGCAAGAGCGAGACCCCGTCTCTACTAAAAATAGAAAGAAATTAATTGGGACAACTAAAAATATATAGAAAAAATTAGCCGGGCATGGTGGCGCATGCCTGTAGTCCCAGCTACTCGGGAGGCTGAGGCAGAAGGATCGCTTGAGCCCAGGAGTTTGAGGTTGCTGTGAGTTAGGATGACACCACGGCACTCACTCTAGTCCGGGCAACACAGTGAGACTGTGTCTCAAAAAAAAAACAAGTATTTATTTAGCAAATATGTCGGGTTAGACCCTGAGGAAATAAGGATAAATTGATGCAAATCTAACATCAGAGTACAAAGACAGACTTGTGAGTAAATAATTACTGTTCAGCAAGATAATGGTTGAAATGAAGGTTTACAAAAATCATTTGGGGACAATCGGAAAAGAAGTTCCGGTGTCTTCCTAGAGTTGAGGGAAGAGGAACAAAAGAGAGGGAGAAGTTAGGACATGGAAACTTTGAGAATAAAAGGGTAAGAACCAGGCACTGTGTTAGGATGGCAAATTTAAACTTTGAAAACTATTTTGCAAATGTAAAATATTTATGTCACCATTTCTTCAAATTGTATTTCATGTAAATGTACTACGTAAATGAACAGGTATCCTCTTTTGTGATGAAATATGTCATACTCATTTCTTTGTGTCTTTGTACTTTACATATTCTGTGTCTTGGACTGCTATAACAAAATGCCTTAGAAAGCATAATTAATTAACAATAAGAATGTATTACTCACAGTTCTAGAGACTGGGAAGTTCAAAATCAAGGCACTGACAGATTCAGTGTCGTGTAAGGACTTGCTCTCTGCTTGAGAGATGGCACCCTGTTACTGTGTCCTCACATAGCCGAAGGGGCAAGGGAGCTCGCTCAAGCCTTTTCCAGCAGGGCATTAGTCCCATTTATGAGGGTGGAGACAGCGTGACTTAGTCACTTCCCAGAGTCCCCACCTCTTAATACTTTCACATTGGATGTTAGGTTCCAACGTTTGAATTTTGGGGGTATACCAACATTCAGATCATAGCACTCTGCCAAAGGATAACATTTCTATTAGAATGATTGTCATTTCATATTCATATAATGTAAATAAATATAAGAAACCATTTTCCTATGGATATATTTTAATCCATGGACAAATATTCATAGTGACTATTGAAATAATTTGTGCTTACTGAGCAAAACTGTCAGCTGTCTTAGTTTATAACATATAGAATATTTAAGAGCGTATAATACCTGCTTTCTTAACAAAGGTATCACTTCACCAGAAGTGGTACAAATATAGTTATGTTTCAAAACTCATCTATATAAAGATTGTTCAGATAGTCTTAACCTTTTCTTTTTGTTTTCTTTTTTGGTGATTATAGAATAACTGTATCAGTAAATTATTTTTGTATATTTGTTGTAGACCCATCAATTATTTTATAGTTAAACCCTCCATAATTGTCATCAAGGGTGTCCAAAATTTTTGACCCAGAAACTTTTAACTAGATAAATGGAAAAGTCTAGTTTGAGATATAAAGTACTGAATGTTCTGTCTGTTTTTCTTAGTATACATTTTAATTTTGCGCTTAGCACCTCTCTGTTGGATTCTAAGTCATCCTCGGAATTTAGCTAACCAGTTGGAAAACAGAACCAATGTTAAGTATGCTGTGATAGAACCATAATTAATTATCTCACCTAATATAGTTCACAAAATGACAGCATCTTGACAGCTTAATACAGACTTTTGAAATATTGGTAAAAAGTGAACAAAAGAATTTTAATTTGCTCAGATCTAAAGTAAAGAAATTGGTTTCTGCTTGTGCTCATGAATCAACAAGTGTATTAATGATTTGGGGGGGAAATTAGAGTTCACTTTAAATATAAACTTATAACAGTAATAATTGCCTGTTCTTTACTTTTTCCACAGTTCTTAGTGGTCTGTGTTCTAATGACTGTCCTCGTAAGATAACAGTAAGTAAACTTAACTATTGGTTATAAGTATTTCTCTGAAAATTCTCTGCATGATAAATAGATACACACAAAATAGTTGCTACAGATTACAATCAAAATGTTATTACTCTTTAACAGTGATTAAAGTCTCCTTCGTTACTCAAGAAAATTTTGCTGGAAATAAGGTACCCTTCCTAAAAATTTCTTACCTGAAGGGTGACCTCCTTTAGGAAGCCTTTTCTGATAGCCTTGAAGGAATGACCACCCCTCCAATTATTTCTGGGCATTTTGGCGTTTATAATATTTGATCTCACCTATTTAGGTTAGATGCCTTACACACTAGACTATAACCCCTTGAGGTTCATCGGGTGTCAGGCAGGTGGGAGCAGGGAGAAGGAGATGGGTATATTCACACCTAATGGGTGTGGTGTGCACTGTCTGGAGGATGAACATGCTTGAAGCTCTGACTCGGGTGGGGCAAAGGCAATATACATAACCTAAACATTTGTACTCACATAATATGCCGAAATAAAAAAAAAAAAAAGAACCATGTCATCTTGTATACCTAGGGCACAAGGTCAAGCATATAGTAGGCAATTAATGACCTTTTTTTGTACAGTCTTAATATTGACTTACTGTTTAAAGGAATATTTCAGTGAAATAACAACTGGGAAAATAATTATACTTAGTTCTTAAAGTAGCCAGTTCATGTAAATTATAATCAGAATATTACATTATATTTAAAAGCACATGCATATGTGTGTGTGTGTGTGTATGTGTATACAAGGACCTGTTTGGGGGTCTTTGTAGTAATTTTGTTTTACAAGAAACTATCCCCCATTTAAGGATAAGGAAACTGAGACTCAGAGAAGTTAAATTACCCAGAGTCAAAGTGCTATTAAGTAGTGGAACTGCAACACAAAGCTAGGTGTTTTGATTATAGTCTCATATTCTTACTACCCCATTAAACCATTACATTAACAATATTTATGTGTCGTTATTCCCATATTTACGACATGTGGGAAAAGGCCCTGACCCAGAAATATAACCCAGACTCGCTTTGGAGCAACACCTCTGAATGAGGAAAGCAGGATTGGTAGAAGGAGAAGGTACATGGAGAGTTCTGAAGGTAGACCGGTCCCTCAGAGATGGCCCAAACTGAGGCGGAGGGGCCTGGCCTTTGTGCTCCTGCATCAATCAGACTTTACATTCAGACAGCCCCCAAGAAGGTGTTAGCATTTATGCCAGCCAGCTCCCCTAGGCTGAGAACAGCGTCCAGGTAGAAACCCAGCTGTGAGCTATTAGCAGTCAACACCTGGGACAGCTCAGGGCGTGAGTGTCTCAGCCCTGAAGGGAAGATCTGATGCGTCACCACATCCACTACAGCCGCGTGCGAATGCCTGGGCTTTTTTATCAGTGTAACACTGTCCATGGGATTGATCAGACTAGAGATTAACTTGGCTGTTTAGGTATTGTCTACCCAGTGTGTGAAACATTCAGACCCTTTGTTCCTCTTCCTTCTTCTGACTAATCGTATCCTCACCCTGTGGCTCTTTCATTACATGGTCATGCAAAGAACTTTAATGAAATTGAACCCACTCATTTTACTCAGAAGTTCTAGCAGAAAATTTGATAGGAAGGGCTGTATAATTAAGGCACGTTTTACTTCTAGGATTCATGCTTCCTTTCTCTTTATCTTAAAATATCAGGTGATTCTATCTTATAGAGAACAGAATCATTTAGAAAGTCACATAAGTAAAGTCCAGCATGCAGAGCTGCTCTTGCAATGATTACCCTGACCATTCACTTCTGGGTGTTTCTGTAGGTGATACACCCACCCCCCATTCATCCATTCATGGCTTTCTTTGAAATTAAGATCCTGTTGAACTGCCCTTCACATATATAATTTTCCTTCTCTATGGTATCTTACTGACATCATAGATCATAATTTTATCACAGCTTAAAAGAAACAAATGCACAGTGTACTTCCCCAGTATTACATATATCAAATGTGTGCCCACTTGTGAAATTATTTACTTCTTGAAAAAGTGTTCCTTCTTCATATTCCTTTGACATCAGATCATAGTAGAAAGTGTTGTATTGGGTATAACCCAGTGTGAGACTAAGAGGAAAAATGTACATACCATATGCTGTTCTTCACTGCTTGAGTTAAGTTATGAGTCGAATGGCTGTCATGCTGGCTATTTATGCCCCCCAGAACAGGCAAGCTATCTGCTATATAGAAAGAGGAAACAGTGGTTCACCTCATCAACTAATCCCATCCAAATTCCTCTTCCATTTTGAAAACCCCAGAGTCTTTCATTCTTATTCAACTTTAGCTACTCACTCCCATGGCCATAACCTGGACCTTATCCACCAGAACTGCTCCACTTTTGAAATCTCAATTTCATTTATCCAACTCTGACCACAACCTGTTTTCCAGCCCTCCCACTGTTACTCTCACTATACCTGTTCAGCTTTAAAACCATTAGTCTCTTGACCTGAATCAGTCCACCCTTGTCTTTCCTCCCTCCTTACTTAGCGACCGCATGTCAGTGTCACGTCCGCCACTACCTCTAACTCCCGTAAAGCACTGCCCTTCCACTGTACCTGCCTGAAAAATTCCAAGCCTTGGTTCGTACGGCTGTCTCTGTCATTCACTCCTGCACCTCACTACTGGGCATTTCTGAAGAAAAACCTACAGTCCTATGTATTGGCACCACCACTAATTCATGGTCTCCAACCTCAAATGGACATTCATAATTATATCAAAGTCTTAGAGATGCATAGTCATCTTTTCTTCCATTCTTTTTCTGTAGCATCTTTCAAGATTTTCTCTTTGTTTTTGATTTTCTACAATGTGAATATGAAATGCCTCAGTATAGTTTTTTGGTATTTATCCTTTTTGTTCTCTGAGCTTCCTGGTTCTATGGCTAGGTGTCTGTCATTGATTTCAGAAAATTCTAAACCTTACCACTTCAAATATTTATTCTTTTCCTTTCTCTCTTTCTTCTTGTATTCCTATTACATATATTTACACATTTGGTAATTGGCCCACAGTTCTTAGATATGCTGTTCAATTTGCTTCTTTCATTGTTCTCTTTGCATTTCAGTTTTGAATATTTCTATTTCCTTGGTCATGTCCAGTCTACCAATGAGCTCATCAAAGGCATTCTTTTGTTATTTTTTTTATTTCTACCATTTCCTTTTGATTCTTTCTTAGAGTTTCCATCTTTCTGCTTACATTAATAATCTGTTCTTGCATGTTGTCTACTTTTTCCCATTAGAGCCCTTAGCATATTAATCATAATTATTTTAAATTCCTGGTCTGGGGCCGGGCTCAGTGGCTCATACCTGTAATCCTAGCACTCTGGGAGGCCAAGGTGGATGGATCGTTTGAGCTCAGGAGTTGGAGACCAGCCTGAGCAAGAGCAAGACCCCGTCTCTACTAAAAATAGAAATTAGCTGGACAACTAAAAATATATATGTATAGAAAAAATTAGCCCAGCATGGTGGCGCATGCCTGTAGTCCCAGCTCCTCAGGAGGCTGAGGCAGGAGGATTGCTTAAGCCCAGGAGTTTGAGGTTGCTGTGAGCTGGGCTGACGCCACGGCACTCTAGCCCGGGCAACAGAGCGAGACTCTGTCTCAAAAAATAAATAAATTCCTGGTCTGATAATTCTAAAATGCCTTCCATATATGAGTCTGGTTCTGATGCCCACTTTGTCTCTTCAGACTTTTTGTTTTGTTTTGTTTTTTGCCTTTTAGCATGCCTTGTAATTTTTTGTTGAAAGCTGGACATGATATATTGAGTGAAAGGAACCAAGGTAGATAAGCCTTTAGTATGAAGTTTTACGTTTATCTGGCTAGGAGTTAGGCTGTATTTACTGTTTGCAGTAGTTGTGGTGTCACTGCCTCAAGTGTCCTTGTTTTTGTCTCCTCTGGTGTCTTTGGGTTTCCCTACAGACTCCTTCTTATAAGGTCTGATGCTTGCAATTCTTTTGGCTGTAATTTCCTGTTACTATACAGGAGGCTGACGGATGTGGTGTAAGGTACAGCGGTAGGAGAATGTTCTGTAGTCCTGTCATTGGGTCTCAGTCTTTCAGTGAGCCTGTGTCTCTGGGCTGTGACCTTCACAAGTGCTTCTCAGCTTCCTTATCCCTTTAGGTGAGACAGGAAGACTAGAGGGGGCTGAAGTTGGATGTATCCCTTTCCCTAGGTAAATTAGGCTTTTGTAAAACCCAAGTCAGTTAAGCTCTGATAAAATAGTTTTTCTTTAGGGCAGGCTGTTATTAAGGAAAACAGAAAGCTGTGGGCAGATTTCAGAATGGTTACTTTCCCCTCCCACTGCTAGAAGCATGAAAGGATTTTTCTCCAGTCTTCACTGAGAACCTATAGGACTCCTAGTGGTAAAACTCCACAAAAGGGTAAGTGTGGGAGTTCCTCTCTAAACCTGCTTCCTCACCACAGAGTTTTAAACACTCAAGCTAGTCCACAGTGAGCCTTCAGCAATTTTTAAATTATACTTCACATTTACCTACCTGTATTGGCTCCATCTTTGGTCTTCTGATATTTGGCTTATGCTCCTTGTAAGCTGTGATTCTCTGTTTCCACCTGTCTGTCTCTCTAGTTTTCAGGATAGCAGTTTGTCCTGTGAGCTCAGTTCTCTGATGGATCTAAGAAAAGTTGTTGATTTTCGGTTTATTCTGCCATTTTCCTATTGTGAGGAGTGGGATGACACCTTTCAAGCACTTTACTTGTCAGACCAGAAACCAGAACTCTCCTGCGTTTTTATGTTTTGCTTTATTTTAAGGTTTATTTTTATCCATATTGTATCATGGGTTTTATCAGTGTATCTTCCTTTGTGTCACTTATTGTTCTTTATCTTTAATTTTTTAATGTTTTTAAAAGTTAAACATCTATAAAATTATAGACTGATGTAATAAAACTCCTTGTCCTGCAACTACCACCTAGTTTCAACAATGTCACCATACGCCCAGTCGTACTTTACCTGTGCTCTCAC